CCGCCGAAGACAGGATGGCCAATGACAAAGGGTGGATAACATGTGTCGAGAGACGTCAGGGACGGCCAGTCTTCTTCCATGAGGGCTTCTTCCACTGCCCGGGCCGTGAGCTCAAATGTGACAAATCATGGGTAGATGACGTCTTGATTCGCTAAACTGACATGTCTCTGCTTTCCTTTTCCCATGTCAATCATCTCCGTGCAGCTGAGCTGGGCCTGCGACATCTTGTGGGGGAACACGGCTCGAATGGCAAGGGGAACATGTCTGTACCACAAAACATGTTCGCACGAGACGCAGGCGGAAGGCGTCCAACAGCTTTTGGCGGGCGGTAGGCAGTGCTGAACAACCATTCCACGGCTGAAAAGCAAGTGAAAACAACTTGACAGCGAAGCATTGCAGGGCCAAGAATTGCCAAGAAGGCGAAAATGAAGTTGCGTTGCCAATATTTTATACACGAAAGGAAAAAGCATGGTATGAGCCAGTACGCCAGAGAGACCATGCGGAGCACGGAATCGGGCGGTCGGATGCCGGCCCTAGGGGACGAAGGTTCGGCGGGCCCCACGCCTCAGGCCCCTAAGGCAGGTCCCTTAAGGCAAAATAAGCTAAGGAACCTACGGTAGGTGCCGCCGGGGCCTCCTTTCTTCTGGCCCCTTTTCCCTTCTCGTCTCCCTCGAGGAAGAGATGCAGCGTCTTTGCGTGTGCATCTACGCACTCATAGGCTCACCGGTTTCCGCTGAGCCAAGAACACCAAACTGCCAAGAAGCCACCACCAGAAGCTGCGCCCACCACCGAGCGGCTCGCCAAAGCTCACCAAGCAACCGGCATGCACCACCCAAACAATCCTTCCAGGCCGCCCGGGGTGATCGTCCCGGCCCACACACCACGGCACGCAGATTCGCACTGTAGCTTAAACGTAGGTAGGTACCTTATTACATTACAGTAGATGCAAGGCACATCATGCAGGCTAGGATCTAAGGAGGTATTCGATCCAGGGGCCAGGGGCCAGGGGTCCGGAGGGAAGAGGGGGGGGGAGAAGGTGGGCTGGCTCGTATTTGCTTCTTTAGTACCTGGCGCCCGCTGAAGGTGGTAAACGGTGGAGGAACCACAGCGGCTTCAGTGGCTTCGGCGGCACCTTCTTCACCCCAACGTTCCAACGCCCAACGCCCAAACGTCCAAGCAGACGCCTCTGCTGACTCAGGAGGAGGGACCATCGGAGAAAACCCGACCTCCCTCCATCAGACGCGAACCACCCACCAATCGCCAATTTTGTTTCAGGCTTCGGGCTCCGCCTGCCTGACGCTTGGAGCTGCTTCCTCTTCAATGGCGAATGAACAACCAGAGGCCAAACAACATCAGACGCACGCATCGTCACCACGCAACCCACCTTGACGTTGAACGGACCCCCCAGGAACTCGGATTTATTTTTTTCTTCTCACTCGCCATCTTAGCCCATTGACAGGGCTATCCCCGGTGCTCGATCCTCTCTTGTCTGTCTGCGCCTCTTTCGTCTCAAGTCTTCTGACTGACTGACTGACTGATGATGGACAGACTGGTGATCAAAGCTCGTGGCAATGGAACGACACGCCACGAGGGTCTCGCCCGTCTATCTGGCCAACGCTTTTCCGCCCAAATCGTATGGGAGCTTCAATCCACATGGGAGTCAAACCCGCTGCGAAACCCGCTGCGAACTCCCAAAACAACATGGCACTTGACGGCCAGACAAAGCCCCAGTCGACTGGACTGGGTCCCCCGACAGAAACATCCGCAACAATGGATGGATCTCTCAGGCGTGGCGATCCGGCCGCTAGACCAAACAACGGTTCTACCCACCCAGGGCTGCCCTTCGCGTGAGACTCGCCGTTTCTGGTAATCGCTGAGCCCTGGCCCCTCCGCCTGGGTCCGACCGCATCGACCGCATCGACTGCATCAGACGGCACTTGGCCAGGAATGGAATTGGTGTGCTCATCTGATCCCACCTTTCCCGCGCCAACGTAGGGCCACCGCAAGCCGTCTCGATGTTTGTTCCTGACTGGACTTGACTGGGCCTGGCTGGAAACCCTGGACCCAGGAATCGCGACCGCTGCCAAGGCCTGCCAAGGACCAGCGTCGTCCGTCGTGGCGCCTCTCGCCTGTATGGAATTCAGGGGGGGTCTGTGTGAGCAGCACTGGTGCCCATGTGCGTCCAGATCGGTATAGCTTGAACGCTAACATCACGTCTATCGCTGCGAGCTCGAGGAAAAAGGATCCCCCTGGCGAAGGGAAACCTCGCACCACCGCCGGACTGCAAGTCGTCACCGGAATCCCTGGCATCCCCGTGCCCACCCACCATGGCCCGCCTTCGTAGAATTTTGCCGCCTGAGCAGCTCCTGGTCCCGAGCCTTGGCCTGCCTGTACCTGCATACCGGGTAGAGCATCAAGCCGTCTCTAGCTCGGCACACCATCCCATGTTTAGACCCCCAAAATCTCCTCCACGAAGGGGGTCCAGCGTGGGCCATCGCGGACCACGGCAACGTGGACGCACGCTCCTTTCTTTGTCCGTTGTTTCTGAAGTCAGCCGGACCTGGGAAACAGACCTGCTGTGCCCTGTCGGGCTTCCCCAGACTCGATCGACAGCTGGCCACGGTGTGGTATATAAGTCTGGTCACCTTGCCTGGTATCCCGGCCTTCTGCTCCCTTGTCTCTCATCGGCCTCTCGTGGTATCATTCGTTTCCTGGTTGACTTTTATAAGTCTTCCTTTACTTTCGTTGGCTGTTCCAAGTCTCTTCGTTCACTCACTCGCTTGAAGCTTGAGCCTTTCGATCCTCCGAGGATCAACACCCCCCCAGAACACCATGCGCTCCAGCTTTGTCCTCGCGGCCTTGGTGGGCCTGGCGGCTGCCTCTCCGGCACCGGCGCCTCACTGCCTCGTCACCGGCGACTGTGGCAACGAGCTCGAGTCGAGGCAGATCAGCGTCGTTATCAACAACATCATTGATACCATCAACTGCAGGATCTTTAAGATCTGCAAGCCCACCACGACCACCACGACTTCGAGGCCTGCTGCTGCCACGACCACGTCCACCAGACCCGTGGTCCCTGCCGTCACCACGACCACATCCCCTATCGGTGTCCGCACCACCACTTCTACTTCGGTCCCTGCGACCGTCGTCACCACCACGGCCGCTGCCACCGCCACCAGCACCGCCACCAGCACCTCGACTGGCACCGCTGGCACTGCTCTGCCCAGCGCCTCTAGCTGTGACAGCACCGTTCTCATTCTGGCCCGTGACGACACCGGCATCGCCGCCGGCAGCGCCGGCCTCAAGGGCTATGGTATTCCCTTCCAGGGCCTGGCCATTCCCCAGGCCGGTGCTCCTCTGCCCGAGCTGTTCTCCGGCTCCAAGGGCAACTTTGGTGCCATCATCATTGTCGATGCCATTGCGTACGAGTACACGGACGGATGGCGCTCTGCTGTGACCACCGAGCAGTGGGATGCTATCCACAAGTACCAGCTCGCCTTTGGCGTCCGTATGGTCCGCATCAACGAGTACCCCGGTCCCCTCTTCGGCGCCGCAGCCGGCGAGGGCTGCTGTGGCCGCCGGCGTCGAGCAGCTCATCAGCTTCACTGACGTCTCCGATTTCCCCACTGCCAACCTCAAGGTCAACGCCGGCGTCAGCAGCCAGGGTTTGTACCACTACCCCGCCACCATCACCGACAGTAAGACCACCAAGCAGGTTGCCAAGTTTGCTGGCGGTCCTGGCGTCGTTGAGGGCGCTGCTGCCGTCATCAACAACTTTGATGGCCGTGAGCAGTTCGTCTGGTTCACCAGCTGGGCTCCCGAGTGGTCTGCGACGTCCAACTACCTTCAGCACTCTCACATTCACTGGATGACGCGTGGCCTGTTCCTCGGCAAGCGCAAGGTTCATCTCTCTGCGCAGGTCGATGACTTGCAGCTCGAGACTGATCTCTACTACCTGCCGGTACTGTCTTCAAGATTCGCACAGGAGACCTGGATGCCCACATCACCTGGCAGCGTGATATCAACAGCCGTCTGGCTGCCGGTTCTGAGTTCTGGCTCGAACTTGCGCACAACGGCAACGGCGATATCATCTCGGCCACTGCGGATAACAGGCCCCAGGACGGCGTTTGCAACCCCAACTACGCCGTTGACTACCCCGAGCAGATCGACACTCCTCTGGAATTCCAGAAGCCCTTGGGCACTGGTCAGGATATCTGGGGCACCGAATTCACCAAGTACGGATGGTCCAAGACCTGCGCTCAGCGTGACGAGTTTGCCAGCTGGTTCCTCGACACGTCTAAGCTCAACGCCTTCGCCCACCTGTCCCATACCTTCACCCACATGGGCCTTAACAACGCTACCTATAAGGATACTGAGCGCGAGATTTCAGTTTAACCAGGCTTGGATGACACAGATGGGCATCGACAAGGCGACCAAGTTCTCGCCCAACGGCCTGGTTCCTCCCGCGATTACGGGTATGCACAATGGTGATGCCATTCGCGCCTGGATGACCAACGGTATCACCAATGTTGTCGGCGACAACACCCGCCCTCCTCTCCGTGCCAAGAACGAGTACTGGCCTCTCATCTCCAACGTGGCCGATAATGGCTACGATGGTCTCCTTATCATCCCGCGGTACGCGACAACCATCTACTTTAACTGTGATACGGCTGAGTGCACGACCCGCGAGTGGATTGAGACGTCGGCTGGCAAGGGCGACTTTAACAGCCTGCTCGATAACGTACGCGCCGAGAACACCCGTCACCTTCTCGGCCTGCACGCCGACCCTTACATGTTCCACCAGGCCAATATGCGCCAGATTGACATGCCGTCCATCACGGTCGGCTCGCAGACGGGCAAAATGTCGCTGATTATGTCCTGGGTCGAGACGATCACACAGGAGATGGGCCGTCTGACCAACTGGCCCATCACGTCGCTGAAGCACGACGACATCGGCAAGAGCTTCTCCGACAGGATGGCCCTCGATCAGTGCGAGCCCAAGCTCTCGTACAGCTACAGCAACGGCACGACCATCTCGTCCGTCACCGTATCGGCCAAGGGTAACTCGTGCAGCGTGCCCGTGCCCGTCACCATCCCTGCTGGCACCGTCACGAGCTCCGGCGCCGTCAAGGCCGACAAGGTCGGCAGCGAGCCGCCCATCCAGTGGGTGACTCTGAACGGATCGCCCGTCACCCTGAACCTGGGCCAGACTGTTGGCGGTGCTTAACTTCCTTTCCCTTTTTCTACATTCAATGTGTATAAACCTTTCGTAGATTAGTATACTTGACGGCATGCGTTGCGGCAAACTAATATCAATAATGTTCAACCAAGAGTGTTCCGCAAATATGTGATCAGATGTTGAGTGGCGAAGTAACAGGGAGAGCAGACGATCTGCAGAGATTCCAAGTTGACATTGATACGTAGGAAACAGACTATCAACTTCATACCCCTAACATAGACTCAGCTGCCACCATCTGCGGAGCTCGTACCGACGAACACCACCAGGACGGCAGCGTACGTCGCCGTCGCGACCAGCGTCTCGATGTTGGAGACCCGAATACCAAAGGAGAGGACCAGCGAAAACAGCACCAGCGCAACGGACACGGTGATGAGACTCTTGGGTAGTGAGGGCCCCAGCGCCATGATGATCATAGGTCCGATGAGGAAGCCGCCGCCCGTCAGCGCGATGAGGAACCGAGCCAGACGGTCGACAAACGTCGAGACCTGATGCGGAGGGTCGCCGTCATGGTATTCTCTCGCGCGCCGGCCCTTTTCCTCACTCGAGAAGGTCAGGACCTTTGGCAGAGAGGCCATGAGGGACCGGCGCAGCGGGTCGATCTGTGCCGTCTCGTCCTCGAAGAAGTGGTAATGGCTGGCGAAAGAATGGGGAAACCCGTCCTCGAACCGCAAGGAGGCCTCGAGTAGGGCCTTTCGCTCGCCGCTCTTGGTTACGGGCACGGCCTTGCTCGAGTGGAGGTACCGATAGTCACGGATCGCATTTGCTGCGTATTCACTCATTTGTCAGCAATTATTTTCCGCGCGCCGTCAGAAGAAGAGTATCTGGAGGACGTCAGAGCAGAGCGCACCATAGTCCCGGAGGAGCTTTTGGAGTTTCACGCCGTCTTCCTCGGAGCGCAACCCTTCTTTCTTCAGCCTGCTCTTCTGGTGGGCGAGTGTGATGTAAAAGTTGGTCAAGTTCAGACGTTGGAGATATTCGAATCGGAGGAAATGAAAGTCCTCCTCCTCACGGAGTGAACTGTCGACGTATTTCTTCAGACTCTCTGGATCCGTCATCGTGCCAGGCTGTGCGGAAGGGAGAGGCTTCGGATGTGCAGGGTGTTTTTGTGTCCGGTGGGATGAGGCAGTCTTAATGATTTGCGTTGTGGCAGTGTTCCGAATTTATGGCTGCATTGCAGCATGCAACCTTTAGGGAGGAGTCGTCCGCATCAGACTTGTTCGCTGCTGGTTGGCGCGAGATGGGCGGCTCAGCTGGCGAGGCCGTCCGTGTAACCACCTATCGCGGATCAGGCTCGTTGCTTGCCCACCTCCTTCTGGGCGGCTGGTCAGATAAGGCTGGCCATTGGGGTGGTACGGGCAAGAGAGAGCCTCGTGGAGAGGGGTGAAGTGCGTAAAGAGGAAATAATGTTGTCGTTCCGTTGCAGCTTGCGGGCAGAAACCAACCCTTTCACATTCTCCAGCCTCTTTTTCGCCTTCTGGCGCTGGTCCACCCTGCTGTTGACGCGCCTTCGCCAGTTGCTGCCACAGTCCCTTTGCCAGCATGGCCCGGTCCTCACGTGGAAATGATGGGGCTGGGAACTGCAGGTCGGGAGGCACCCAAAACGAAAAGCGAGGGCGGACGGCCCTCATTTCCAAGGCTCTGAGAAGAGGTTCCTCGAAGGGGGAGGCTTCAGGCTTGATGGATGGCGGGGCACAAAGCAATACTCACAACCCCAGTCCCGAAGATTCACACCGGCTTCGAGGACGACCCTCATCCTGCGACTCAAATCGATCACGCTTATCACAGGGTTCGCAAGTGTCCGACAATGACGCCGCGTCCCAAATGCTCACGAACATGGGCGAGTCGGTGCGCAAAATGCTTGTGATATTCGGCGCTCGCAAGAAGAAACTCAAGGTGTGGAGCAAAACACCAACGACGGGTCCAGCGGGACTCTGTGTCGAGATTGCTGCTCAAGTTCAATCTTTGATCGAGACGGACAAGGCATGCATGGAAACGGACGAAGAGGCCCTGAGAGGTCAGACAACCCTCCCCGAGACTCTTTGCTGCACAACCCTGACAAATACCATAGGCCTCAAGGCCATTCAACTGGACCTCAGGGTTAGGCTGTCTGAGGTACGAGGTGAACACGGCCGTCAGGAATTCGACGCAGTGATCGAGCCACGACTGAGGACTATACATGAAGAGTTGGTGAAATGGTCCAACAGGCTCAGCGACGTGCCTAAAAAGACAGCTGGTAGTGTAAGAAGAAGATGAAAAGAAGAATCACGATGAATTCGTTGCTTGGAAAGGACCGTGTCTTTCCAGATGTGTCGATCCCGGATCCGACATGAGAGAAACCACGAAAGAGTGAGGAGTGCACACGCAGGGTCCAGATCGAGGGCGACTGTTTGAGCTCGTGAACCGAGCCGAAGGATGATGGGAAACGGGGTCATCCGCGATTTGAATGCGTTGCCTCAGGAAACCAGATCGAACTTATGAAAGAGAAAGCTGCGTCGAATGGCTTCATGATGGGCTGTATGAAGACTGGAGTTGATGGACATGGGAGTCGAAAGTGTGTCAGGGAGGAGGTTTGGTCAGGCAATATACAAGGAGTGGGAGCAGTTTGCCAGTGCCAGCTTATCTAATCACGAAAATAATGGTCCCCCGTCGAGATCCGACCTCAACACCACAACCGTCCCGCAACAAATCGACAAAGGCGACAGGCGAGGACGGCGCTTCACCCGAATGCAAAACTCATCGAATTGCTGACGTTCCCTCTCCACCTCTTCAGCCTCGCGATCTCCCCTCCGGCAGACACCGTCACTCATTCACACGCGACCGGCAGGAGCAGGCAAAGATGGACTACGAACCCATGCTGCTCGAC